TCCCTCCCTCCCTTCCTTCCTTCCTTCCTATTTATTGTAAGGGAAAAGTTTCAATTATGCTCTATTTAGCAGTAAATTTACCTGTTTAGGGTCCTTGGTTTGTGGTAAAGTGTCAGGGTATTGTGTGCATGGTCATTGTGAGCACTTGCAGATTAATGATCCAGTATATCATCTGTAAACCAAAGTGGAACATGTAAATCTAAATTTACATTATCTTTTGTCTCTCTAAAGACAGTTTTGTATTTCTTACTTGCTGTAGAATAAATGATTGAATGCTAATTATTTGATTTTAGTGGCAAGTCTGTTTTATCCTTGGAAGGCTTTTGGGCCAGTTCACAGAAATGAAGTGCAGCTTAGATTTGGATCGCTCTTTTTTTTTGTTAAATCCCATCATATGTATATTTGGAAAACAGCAAGATGTTTATATAGATTTTCTATTGGTGGTAATGGCATGTTTATTTCATATATTGCACAAAAAGTTTAATATTTTAATGCGCTAAACTGAACAATGTGAGTTGCATTTGGCTTATAATTCTTTTATGTGGTTTCTATTGTTAAGCAATGAGTATCATTTCTTCTGATTCTGTTTCACAGTGGTACAGCTGTTAGGACTCTCCTTGAATGTTTTAATGAATAGGTAAAAAGTCATTTGAACGGAGGAGTGCCATGTGTACAGCAGGGTCTTTCTTTTCTGTTTGCTTGCAGTGAATCATTCTGTTTTCCAGTTTTACTACTACAGAGAAAAGCTGCATTGTACATCTCAAATTTCGATGCTATTGAAATATAGTGAAAATGGCTTCTGTAGATAGGTTTCACTATGGAATTGTGAATTATACATGTAGATCCAAATTTCTTATTTTGAAATACTAAATGTATGATTATTTAATTGGAATGTTGCATCAGTATCTTCATATGTTTGCCTTAAATAAAATGTTCTTCATTGATTTATGCAACATGGATTTAGAATGTGTGTGTCATATATATTTGTAACTTTTCCATTCTGGTAGTAAAGAGCCTGTGTATCCCTGTGTGGTCTTCTAAATGAATATAGCTGCTTTTGGCAGTGTTGAGTAAATATTAGCATTCATGATAGTCTATTGAGAACATACTTTTCAACAAATATTGCTAAAATGCTAACTGTGTCTTCTAAGTGATCCTTCCTTGGAAGATACACATACATGCATAAGCATGTAGAAATTTCTCTTGATATTAAAATACTTCTAAGAACTTGTATTTGATGCATGAGTGAGTATACCATACCATTTAAAAAGGAGAACAAGGAAGAATAATTTTAAAAGATATACTATGAGTTCATGTGTATAGTACACTTTATGTAAGTTCTTTGAATCCTATCTGAAGTTATGGCACATTTTTAATGCAAGATAAGTTTTTTTATGGTCAGTGTCCACATACAATTCCATGCGATGCTGTTATCTTACAGAGAAATCCAAATTTTAAATTATATTGTTTTCATTCTTTGTAGCTGCCATGTGGGTGCTGGGAATCAAACCCAGGTCTTCTGGAAGAGCAGTCAGTGCTGTTAACCGCTGAGCCATCTCTCCAGCCCCAAGTTTTTCTTTATATCAAACATTGCAACATTTTTATGCTTGGTTTTGCCTTGTAACTCTGGTAATCAATAACATGTTTGGCATTGTACTGAAAAGCTAAACTTACTTGTTAAACCTTCAGAATTTATAATTTCATGTTGGATGATCCAGTGATCTTATTTATTTCCTTAAAAGCTGTGTTGTGTGTCACATATGTTGATAAAGTTTGCAGTTTTTACAAACATTTTTGAAAACAACTGTTTTTTTTTTTTTTTTTTTTTT